TAATTGACTTCGCGGACGAAGCCTATGCCTTTGAGTTTTTCAACTTCTGCCTTCATTGCCTCGTACCATTCATAATCATAAGATCTTCGCTTCTGTCTCACTGGCTTGGTCTTGGGGTCAATACTTAAGCGATGACAGATTATATGGGGAGAGATGCCTGGCATGTCCTCATATGACCAGGCGAAAACCTCAGTGTTCACTTGCAAAAAAGAAATCAATGCCAACCGAATGGGTGGTGACAAGGTGGTACCAATCTTCACTATGCGATATGGATAATCTTTTGAGATAAAGATTTTCTCCAACTCTTCAGTGGTTTGTGCTTGCTGGGTGAAAAAGTCATCTCGAGGATCTTCGGGTTGACTGTTGCCACCGTGAAGATCCAAGTTGGCTTTGTCTGGGCTGGTCTTTATAACTTGGTCATGTATAGAAAAGGTTTCCTTGGGCACAGGCAGGTGCTATTGCTTGACCGAAGTGTTGTAACATGATCGTGCACTAAGTTGATCTCCTCTGATGTAACCATTGCCATAGGGGGTTGGAAATTTCATCAACAACATATGTGTGGATACCATGGCCTTGAGATCATTGATGCATGTGCGTCTGAAGATGACATTGTATGTCGTTGGGCAATCAACCACCAGGAAGTTAGTGGTAATGGTAGCTGTGTAAGGGCCTGTACCAATGGTGAAAGGTAAGTGTATGCTCCCCAAAGGTTGCATGATATCACAAAAGAACCTTATCAGAGGGGAAATCGAGCGGTTGAGCAAGTGTTCAGCTACATTAAGTGCCCTGAAAGCTTCAGCAAACATGATATTAACCGAAGCCCCTGTGTCTACCAGGATTCGTCGTACTTCAAAGTTGGCTATATGAGCTTCCACGATCAGTGGGTCGTTGTGAGGGTAGATGATACCTCTTTCTTCCTCAGGGTAGAAACATATTAGATCCCAATTAGGTTTTTGATACTTACCTCCCCTGATGTCTTCCATGTGAAACACTTGGTGGCCAGACCTTAAAGCTCGTTCACTATTTTTCATGGCCCTGTTGGAAGATTTAGATATGGGTGTGCCACCACTTATGGAATATATCACATTTACCTGGCATTGGTTACGGTTACCCCTTGGAGGGTGAAGGAGGAATTGATCAATTTTTCCTTCACGTGCCACAGCTTCAATATGATCACGAAGGGAGATACACTTCTCACCGTCATGGCCGTTATGCTCGTGGTAGCAGCAAAACGTGCCCGTGTTCTTCGTGGGCTTGTAATCCGGGTGCCTCGACTTTGGCTTCGGTATCAAGTGTGCTATACTGGGTAAATGGCCACGCATGTGGCGTTCAAAGGTGTGTATACCTCATACCTCGGGGTAGGGGCTGTCCTGACACGTGCTTGACCCACTGTGTTGACTGCCTGGGGTCGGGGATTATCATGGCGATACCCTTGGTTATCGCGGTAGTGTCCCTTACTCCTTTTACTAAAATGAGACTGGTAAGGATGGAAATCTTTCCTTTTGCCCTGAGATTGATATGTCTGTTGACTTGGCAAAGTATTAAGTAAGGCAGGGGGAGGCACCGCTGTCGTTTGGAAGGTCGAGGTCTTCTCATTTGGTTGGATCTAGCTTCCACTCCCTACTTGCTGGTAAGGGGTGGTTGTGGAGGGTTTCCCTTGATATGTCCTTGCCTCGGCGGATGCATGGTTGTAAGCCTATGCCATCACCTCAGAGTAAGTCTTCCAAGTGTTGGCATTGATCATGTACTTGAAGAAACAATCACATAGGCCTGCCGTGAAGGCTTTGAGGGCGGTCTTGTCATCTGCCTCAGCGCAGCGAGAATACTCATGGCTGAAATGACCAACATACTCTCGTAGTGACTCGTCCGGCTTGGCGAATAATGTACAAGTCATCTGCAGAATGCAAGCAATCGGTCTGGAAGATGTGTTGAGAGACAAACAGTTTCCTCAGTTCCTCAAATGAGTCTATTGTCTCAAGTGGAAGACGGCAATACCAGTTTAGAGCTCCGCCAGAGAGGATGGAGGGGAAGATAAGACATCGCTCTTCGTCGGTGTGCATCCGATATGCCATGGTGGACTCAAAGAGGTTAAGGTGTTCAATTGGGTCATCCCTTCTAGTATAGAGTTGTAAACCAAGATTTTGTTTTGTCTTCACTTGAAGGGGGTGTCGAGGATCCTCCTTGTAAGAGGGCCAGACCTAGGTTGGTTCCAGTTAGGTATCTCAGCTTGACGTTCGGCCTTCAACTTGTTTACTTCCTCAAGGAGCTATAGGACAAGGGGGTCTTGAGTGGAGTCATGTACCACTGGGATTTTCTTTCGTAAGTCTCTATTGCCTCTTGGAAGTAAGAAAGTTTGAGCAAGGGCGTGTGATTTTTCCTTGGACTCGCCGTACTGACTTCTAGGGCGAGTCTGTCGGAATACCTCAGAGTCCCCTGTACCTTCATGTTCCTCTAGGACATGTCGTTCCTTCCCTAGATTGGCAGCTGGCCTGGGTCGTGTGAGGGGACCGAGTCTTTCAGAAACCCTTGGGTCATTGATCTTTGAGCATATGTGGAGGGGATTCTCTCGACGTTGCTTTAGGATGTCTCGGCAGTCACGATAAACGGCTTTCGATCCTTCTAACCCTTCTGCAAGGAGGTGTCTTCCTCCACTTCTCCTGCTTTGGGTCGAAGCAGCTGGGTTGAGAGAAGTCTCATGTTGATCAATGTTTTGATGATTAGCTCGCTCTTCATCAAGGATACCCATGTCGAAGGAAGGTGACCCTCCGTGTTGGGGGGCACCCAGATGATGGTTGATGTCCACAGGGGCAACCAGCTCGCGTGTTTGAGTACACATAGTTTCGTGAAATGTCTCAAAAAGCTTCTCATACTGCTCTTGGAGGACCTCATTCTTCATTGCTATCTTGTTGTTTTGAGCTTCTAGCTCATCGACTTTAGCTTGAAGAGCAACCCTTTTTCCTTCCTTCTTTCATTGCTTCGCACTAGGTGCAAGAGGGGTGTCATTCTGTGTGCTATGGCTTCCTTCGCTCCCATGTTGGAAAGGGATGCCTAGTCAAAAGAGAGTGTACGAATGGTGGAAACCAGCTTGACAAAGCTGAAGAGAGTGGGAATAAGTGTCGTTCCCATAGACGGCGCCAAATGTTGATGCACAAAATCAGTGAGGACTTTGGTACAATAGAAAGTGTTAAGTTTGTGACCTTCGCTAGATTGCTCCGGTCACTAGTGTGGATAAGTATGTAAATTGATAGAGACAGAGAAGCAAACAAAAGATGTACATGGTTCACCCAGATTGGCTACGTCCACGGAGTATAGGAGTTCTCATTAATTGTGAAGGGTTTACACAAGTACATAGGTTTAAGCTCTCCTTTAGTGAGTACAACTGAATGATTTAGTACAAATGACATTAGGAAATATTGTGAGAGAATGATCTCTATTTATAGAAGAGAGTTTCTAGTTTCATTCTGACATTGACACATGTCGTGTTGTGATTGGCTTCTGATGTTAACACGTGTCACGCTGTGATTGGCCTCCTGGTTGTAGGGAAACTCTTCTGGGTCCTTGACGGTATAACGTTGACTGATGCTCAGTAGTTTCAGGATTGGTCAAGTATGGTACAAACACATTGTATAAATCATTTTTTCAACTTTAAAGTGTGGCTTAAAAAGAAGTTTTAAACAAGTAGCAATAATTTCCTATTGAAAAATTACTTTAGTCTAAAGAAGGCTTTTCAATTGCACTGTACCAATGAACAATATTTTGCACCACATTTCAATCTATTTACGGACATGCCATTATTCTTAGCATTTAGCCTGGGTATTTTTTTTTCAAGTTTAGTTGGATGGCCTTTGGGGGTTTGGGCTGTGACTTGGTTGGTGGCTTTTGTTTGTGGTTGGATTTTTCAGATGGATGGCCGACACGGGTAGGCCTAGCCTGGAACGATGGCAGAGACAAGAGAGGAGGAGGAGTCGGATGGCAGAGAGAAGAGGAGGGGTCACGCGATGCCAGAGAGAAGAGAGAAGAGAAGAGAGAGGATGACTCCTGGAAGGAAAAATTGGAGGAGAAAGGGAGGGGTAGGATGAGCAAAGCAATAAGTAGGGCTGCCTGGAATTTGGGTTTTGTTTTTCTCGGTAAGGTATGCTTAGAGAAGCGGTGAGGCATGAAGGGACGCCTAAACCTAGGGTTGGTTTCAGAGATTTGGTTCCAGCTGGAAGCTATCTTTGCAAGCATTGATGAGGATCTCTCATAGCTGGCAGCTTCAATTCCTTTCAAAGCTAAGTGTTCCTTTTGAACCGATTTTTCCCTTATTTCACTGTTTCTGGTTTGAACTTGCTTAGAAACCTGTATTTTTTCCTGCTTTGTTTTCTGTTTGGTTCTGCTTCTGGTTCGGTTATTCAACTTTTAGATAGGATTGAAAGATTTGTTTTTTAATTATTAAATTGGAACAGAAAAATAGATATTTTGTGCTGCCTTCTTCACTGCCTGATAAAACCACTTCCTCCTCATTTCTCTTTTTCTTCCTATTGTGTTGGTCTTTCAGTGTCATAGCTTCTCTGCTGAAATCAAACTGTATGCATTTTGCCCCTTTTTTTTCATTACCCTATTATTTGTTGTTGTCCTCACCCTGTGAATCGAATGCTGAGTTTTTTTACCCTATTATTTGTTTTTGTTCATTCACATATGATGCACTGTTAATCGTTTCCTAACAAATATGTTTATATATGTTTATATATGTTATTTTCTGTTTGGTTTGATTCACAGGGATAGCTTTTTTATGGTTGTTGTTGTTAGAAATAAATTTAATTTTTTATGCCTTTGAAGAAACCCTGTGAATCAAAGGCTCAGCTTTTTTATGCTTTTTTTGTGGTTGTTGTTGTTGTTGTTGGTTTGTTCAAAAGAATATGTTGTTGTTAGAAATAGATTTAATTTTTTAAGGTTGTTATTTTCTGAGGATCATTCATGGTCACCAGTGAAAAGAAGTGTGATTTGTTCAATCCTCTTTCATAATACTAATCCCTAAACTTATTAAATTTATTGACCAGGTCATTTTTCTTTCAATCCCGAAGTTCGTATTTTAGCAACTTGGATCGTTGGGCAGAGCACTTCACCCCTTGGCTTTTGAGGTATATTTATTTGCGTTTGTTATGGTGGAATGTGCAATCGTTATGTCATATTTCAAATCAAAATTGATTCTGTCATGAATAATTCATATGATCAGTTCTTTTATTTCAGAGCAATATTTTTTCTTTATCGGTTTATGTAGATCGGGTAGCGTTCGATAGTTGATGGATTGATGCCTAGAATCCTACTACTAATTTTGGGCTACAGGCTTGACCATTATTTACAGCAGAGATGTTGTTTTGAGATTAAGAGACCTTAGGAAACTATCATACAAGACTATACTTACAATTGAATTTCGTTTTGGAGTTCATAAGAGGAATGTGTTTATGGAACTGAATATCTTCTTTTTCTTTTCGTGGTTTTCTCACTAGGAAATGCTCAAGTTCTATCATGTATTTTTTGTTAATTGAGTTTTGATTTTCACAGTAATTGTACAACTCTATTTTCTGTGCCTCCTTCAAAACTACTATCGTGAGTTCCAAATGTACCCCCAATTGTATTTTTTCTCTCTCTGCGCTTTTGAAAGGTTCCAATTTCTTGCATTCTTAAGCTTATGCCTCCGAAATCACCTTAATTTTGTGTTTAATGGTTTTCTTTTGTTATAAATTCTGAATTTTGTCTTTAATTTGGGCTTTGTGGGTTTAGAATTTAGAATTTGTAAGTAATTAACTTTAATTTTGTCTGTTATTATTGGGTTTGAGTAAATTTCAACCTTTTGTCTTTGTTCTTAATATTTTTGAGTTCCCTATGTTAAATACCAGGTGTTTTTTTCAATTAGCATCTTATGAATTTTATGAATTACAGCTTCTGTAGTATTTTCCAAGTACATTTTATATACATACACGGTACAGGCACATGGCTTATGGCTTTTTTTATCGCTTGGAAGCTTTTATTGTTTTTCGTCACCAATACAACATACTCTTATACACTTATGCAGCCCATGCACTCAAAGACATAGTACACACATTGTTGTTATTCCTTATTTGATTATTGGGATGCCAAAATTTTAAGACTTTGTGTTTAAATTGATTCTTTGGTATACTCAGTTAATTAAGACTGTTCTTAACTTTCTGTTTCCTGATTCAATTTGTTTTGGGTGCACTGTTTGAGGATAGGGTTGAGGGAACAAGTGTGTTGGCTGCAAAGAGAGGGTGGGGTTAATGGATTGTATCTCTCCCTCTCTGTCACATCTCTTCTTCTATCATTTACCATTTCCTTCCATTTGCGATTGTGTTGGGGGTTTTGTTTGTAGCCTGTGATTCTACCTGAGGTTGTTTATTTTTACTTGGTCTGAAAGCACGTCCAATTGCTTGCCTGCGCACAAATGGCTTAAGATGGACATCCATAAGTATACGTTGAGACACCCCACCGAATATTTTCCACCTCCACTTAGCTTAATTGCGTGAAAGAACACCTTACCGGCATGAGGATTGTTAAATCTAGCTGTCAACCATTCCTGCCCCTAATTGGTTAGATTTAACAATCCCCCTGCTGCTAGGCTGTTTTTTAGCTTAGTTAAGGCATGTGGGGAAGGTGTGTCTACAACCTTTTTTTTGGGAACTTTAACGAAAAGCATCCGGTACTGTTCACTTTAACGAAAAACCACATTTTTACACTAAAAAGTCAATCCTGGTACTATTCACTTTACCCTTTATTTTGTCCTTATCATTAAAACTCAAAGTTTTCAAGCCCTTTTCATTAGTTTTCCTTTTTTTTTGTGACTCAGCTGATTATACCTATAGGGACACCAAAACACATCTATCTGATCCATCTTTTCTACACTGTTTTTTTTCATTTTTGCAATTAAAAAATGTATTTTACATATGCGTGTGTGTTTATGCTCAGTGTTTATTCTAATAACAGTGAAAATATGTACGAATTACCAAACATTAGTATAGGTTTAAACATCGATATAAATACAACAAATACAAAAGTAAATAAAATTTAGAATGTAAATGGTTCCTTGCCGATTAATTTACTGAGTTTTACGTGACGATCACCTTTTATATTTATATTTAGTGGCTCTGACTTGGTTTTGTTTGTTTGAAAATGTATGTTGTCGTGCCTGTTTAAGGTGGTTATATGTTTGTTTCTTTTTAACAAGGTTCATATTTGTTTCTCCTTATCCTATTCTCTGTGTGTTGGTATAGGGAGATAATTTTTTTTTAAAACAGGACAAATTTTTCCTCTTCTCTGTGTTTTTGTAGAGCCTTAAATGACATATGTTATCTCTTTGTGCATGATCAATGACCGGCTACGGAATATTATATGTATGTAATATGTTTTCAGGGGGAATGTTATCCTTTTTTGATACTGCACAGAAGAAAAAAAAAACAATGCATTGGGTGCATCTGTTTTTTTATCATTTATTTCTGAAAAGGCCAATATATGCAGCAGCACTGCTAAGATGAGGCAGTTCAGATTGCAATTTTAGTTGGTTTCTGCAAAGATTCTGATGGTTTTCTCTTTTTAAATTTGTTCCTGTTTGATTAATGTTTTTCAATTTAAATTTTACTCCTTTCCAACTTAGGCTGCTTTACTGAAAAAACGGTAGAGATTTTAACGTGTAATCTTATTTTAGCTTGCTAAAAATAAAAAGATTCATCGTATATACATGTTGTGTGCCCCATGGTAATGCACTGTTTTAAGTTGGTGTGTCCTTTGGCTCAAATTTAGAGATGGTTTATTGACTATTTAGTTTGTTGAACGACACCATTTCCTACTTTATAAAGCTCATTTTTTTTTTTTTTTTTTTGTTCAGACCGTCATACTCTACCCTCTCTATCTCTGTGATTCTCTATGTGATTCTGTATTCCGTAATGCCATTTTTGCTTCTGAAAAAACCTTATTGCAGGTTCCATTTCCATTTTAAATTTTGTGTTAAGCTTTGTGCTGCTGTGCATTTCTCCATGCACTTATCGTTAGAATATGAATTAGTGGTACAATACTTATCTCTTAAGTAGGTTGAATTTTGTGAGAGTGTCAATTGAGTATGCATGCTTTTGGAATGAGAGAATCAATGGAACCAAACAGTAGATGTTTTCGCCAACAGCTGGCCTAGGTTATGGAAAATTGTTTAAACGATGACTGAAACTAAATTATTTTAGAAACTATGGTCAGTTTTTTTTTGTCATTTCATTTATTCAGAAGTTACTAACTGGGGGCTGGATTAAGTTTGATAGAAGGGGGGATGTATGTAATTGAAGAAATTCAAACAGTACCTTGGGTTGTAATTACTGAGATTTTTGCTATGGTGCAGTTTCTGTCCCTAATGGTAATTTGAATTCTGAATTTGAATTATGGGGTTTTTAGGCCGTTTGAAGCTGGACAAGCTCATGTCCTTTCCATGTTATAGAAACTTTGCTAAGTTACCACATTCAACAAGTGGTAGTCTCCATTTCCAGTTGATCTTTATGTAGCAGTGTTAAATGTGATTATTGGGACGCCAAACTTTAAGAATTTGTGTTTAATTTGATTCTTTGGTATACTTAGTTAATTAACTAAGAATTGGATTACATTTAGATCATATATATATATATATATGATTTTGGACTATGTTTTTCTCCAAGTTCATTTGTTTTGATTCAATGGGTTAGTGAGTTAAGGTTGTTCTTAACTTTCTATTTCCTGATTGAATTTGCTTTGATTCAATTGGGTTAGTGAGCTAAATTGCAAAAGAGGGGGATGGGGGTTTAAGTTTCCAAATGGCTCTTATGGGTTGTGTATAAGGCTAGAGGATTTTAACTTTTGAGACATACCCTTTGTTTGGTGCACTTTCACAGATTGAGTCCATTATATTGTCACAATTTAAGTTACTGTTGTTGTATACGTTTGTTTCCACTTTGAATTCTTAGTCTCAGTCTTACTGCTGTTTCGCAGGTTAGATCGGGCTCATATTGTACAATTGTGATCTGGTTTTGCTGCTGCCTTTAATCTACGGGTTCTTAGCCATACATTTCAATCAAGCCTTTGGTATGTCATGAACTTCGATTCGTGTTTCCCCATGCTTTCTGTTTCAGCTAGTATAATTTTAGAATTTTTTAACTAAACCTTTTGTTTCTTCATCGTTTGTTCTATTCTTTGTTTCTCATTCTTTGTTGTCTCTGTCACCTCTGATTGTCCAAAGGTCCGATGGTACTTTTTTTTTTCGGTTTAAATAATGTCTATCCAATTCGATTATTTTTTTGAATTTTCTTGCTGTTTCTGTGATTCTGATTTAACCAACTGTTTTTAATTCTTTATCAAATGTTGTTAGGCATCTTATGTGTTTTTTGTTGGTTGCTTGCTTTCTTTATTGCGTTCTCACTTTTCTAAATCATTCTTCGAAGGTCAGTTACTTTGGTTGGTTGGTGTTTTTGTTAGGTTTTTCTGGTAGTCAACTCTTTCATCCTCCCCAAGGTGCTTTAATAAGTGCTATTAATAACTTCAATATCTCAACAAACCAGACATATTTCCAAAAAAAAAAAAAATATTCAGAACTTCCATATTTAAGTTTTTAAAATTTTTGACTGTGTTATTCTTAAGACCTACAAGCTAAACAGTTTTTCCTAAAAAACATAGATATTGACGCTGTATTTAATTTGTGATTCAGGGTAAATAAAATGGTGAAAGAGATTGATTGAAGCGAACAACAAATTCTAGGAGGAGTTTTGGTTAAAAATTTAAAGGAACTAATTGAGGCTCGAAACAATGCATTGATTCGAAACACGGTACAAATATATAGAGAAACTGCCCCAGGACCCAATACAAAGATATCAGTGAAAATTGAAAAAACAAGATTGGGTTTGCGTGTTTATGGTAAGGGTGCAAATCGAAACAAATTGGTGGTCCACACTATCCATTCACTTGAAAATCGTAGGAATTCGCCGAAAGAACAAGTTCAATTGGAAGAAGAAGTTTAGCATTTGTTTTTTTTGGGGGTTTTCGATGAGATCTACAAGTTTGGTTGCTGCAACAAGATTGGAATTTTGTTGCTCTTCCTTGCCTCCACTGTAATAGTGTT